TTCTACCTACAATCTTTCCATTTAATCTTATTTCTCAGTTGCCTGCTATTGAGGTGCTAATACCCTGAAGGTGCTATTCCCAATGGATTTCTAATCAGCCTGTAATTCTGCACTTGTGCTCCTGCTATTCCACTACCTGGATCCCCCTTCCCAATTCCTTCCTTTTCAGCTGATGAAACCCTATACACACTAAAATTTATTTCAGTTTTCTAGTGATGAAGAATATTCTCTAATAATACATAATTTCTTTATTTATCTGAACATGTTGAGGTGCTCATTATGCCAATTTGAGGAACACATTTTAAAGTCTGTTCAGCAATGTGATTATTTTGTACTTGTCTGATTATTCTAAAAGTATGGTAAATTCCTTGTGAGTATACTCCACCCATTTCTTATCTTTTTAATTTCCTGAATAACCTATGAAATAAAAAAAAATACAATAAGTTTTTAGTTAATATGTGTTGAAGGAGTTAAACATATTTAGATCTAAATTTCTTTCCTAAGAAAAGAAATATTAGATTGTACCAACTTATACTAATGAATACCACCCATTCTCAGAGGTAGGAGATGAATAATGATAATTAAAAAAAAAAAAACTTCACTGCCATGGAGTTGGATCCAACTTACAGCAACCCTTCCTTGGGTTTCCGAGGTGGTGTCACTATAGAAGTAGATTGCCCAACCTTCCTTCTGAGGACTAGCTGCTGGGTTTGAACTGCCAGCCTTCTAGTTAGCAGTCACATGCCTTAGGCACTATGCCACCAGAGCTCCTAGGATATGAATAGATTAGAAGAAATAGATTGGGGCAAATAGGGCATATTTATTGTAATTACTGATATTTATGAAAACTTCCATTCAATCTACAGGATGTTTTATGTGGATCAAATTTATTCCAATTTTGAAATTTTCCTGGGGCAATAGTTAAAATGTTTGGTCTATTTTTACATTTAGTTATATTGTCATGGGATAAAATTTAGGCCATACGTATGCACACATAGGTCTAATATAGCAGTGGATAGCCACAAGACCAGTCTTTTTAATGTGATGTCTTTCTCACAGCATGGTTTTATTTAATATATTAAAAAGTAAATAAATAGGGTTCAAAATTATGCTCACTGCAGATAAAACTGACAATACTAATGAAAACGAAGAAAACATTCTATTGGTATAATATATGATGAAAAAGTACAGTATTCTCCAAACTATAAACACTTGAAAAATTATTATCAAATGAATGGAAAATTTTGGGCTTGAAAACTTTACAGTTACTTTCAAAAAGTTATGCTCATGTGCAAAGTATTCTTTATTACTTCATTAAAATGTGTTTTTAAATTCCTCTTCAACAGCTGTTAGTTAATAATTAGAGCATAATAAGGAGCAGAAAAGGTGTGTTGTATAACTTAGTAGCTCTCGACCTTGCACATGTAAGAAATGTTCAATAAATATCTATTGAAGAAATTAGTAAAACAATAAAATGGTAGATTTTGCTGTAATAGTCTGCATACGTGTGCTGTGAATCTAAAGGCCCCAGTTTGGCAGTGTTTTTTTTGACCCTTGTTAATCAAAGTGTGGTCCTTACACCACCACCAGCAGCAGCATCGCCTGGGAGCCTGTTGCAAATACAGAGATTCAAACTCTACCTTGACCTACCGAATCAGACTCTGTGTTTTGAAAAGGTCCCCAGGTGATTCATGTGCACATTAAAATTTGAGAACTACTGCATTATGCTATGGATAGAAGCAGACTGAGGAACATTAGTTAACTTTCCCCTCCCTGTAATCTCATAAAAATACTTGAAAAAATAATTGTTCTGATTAATCTTGGTTCTACTACTTGCAAAGGCGTGGACTTAGTGACCTGTCCAACCTCCTTTCATACAAGTGAAGTTCAGATTTTACTCTTGACTTGTTTATTCAAAATCAGAACACCTGAACAGAACATACATATTTAATTAAAACAGATCATTTAGGGTTAGCCAAGCTAAGATAGAGTTATGGCAAGAAAAATGCCTTGCCACATTGGTGCAAAGTTTCCTTGACCTCCTGCCACAGTATATGTTTAACACCTCTGGGATTAATGATATGCTTCACATAAAGGATTATTTTTACATCTTGGTTCTCTGGAATGAACACAGCAGGTGAATTGTGATGCTAAATAGCAAAAACACCTCTTGAAGGAGCTGCCACCTTATATATGTTATTACAAAGTATTAGTGACTTTAAATGATGGATTTCTTTTTCTCCCTGAGTGGGGAAAAGAACATAAAGTTAGATCAACTGTATGTAAGACCTTTGAATGTATCTCTAAAGTCTGAGACTGAAAGTGATATCCAACATTAACATATATACCATAATGTAAATAAATATTTTTAATTTACCTAAAGAATGTGACCAATCATTATACTTATGGACTAATGCTGTTTCACTTTTATTTTGAAAATATGTGGTTCATTTCAACAGAGGTATATTTAGCTCCTATGTATAACCAGCAAAAATTTGATCGGAAGGTACACACTTTCTGTACTGGAAGCCAAGGCAGTAAGCTCTTTTGTGTAATTGTCTAATGGCAAAGCACATTTTAATTGACATCCTCTCGTAGCATAGTGCCTAAGGTATTTGACTGCTAACCAGAAGGCTGGCAGTTCAA